CTCCCTACCTACTCAGCTACTTATTTGCCTACTTACTCAATTACTTAATTAGTTATTACTTACTTAGCAACTTACTCAGCTACTAACTCAGGTACTTACTCAGCTACTTACTCAGCTACCTACTCAGCTTTTTACTCAGTTACTTACTCAGCTACTTACTCAACTACTACTAAGGTACTTACTCAGCTAATTACTCAGTTACTTACTCAGCTCTTTACTGATCTATCTAGGTCAAATAAATCTGGAGTCTTAAATTGAACTTGTTCAATTTCACAAATCTAGTTACATTTGAGTTAATCTATTGCAACAGTCCACACGAGATAGCGTAAAAGCAATAAAACAAACAGCGCTTGATGATATCGTTAGGCCTCACTCTGTATTTTCCTGAAGATTCTAATATGTTTCACTGTTGGGTTTGGCTATTGACATAAATGACAAATTAAAAATTATTCAATGAATATCCTAACCAAACCCGTCTGGCCCAGTTATCTACTCCCGGAGTCGTAGATCTGGGCCAGACGAGGTCCAATGCAAAAAAGGGAGGATTTACTCCGGAAAGAACATGTCGCTGAATCATCACTTATTATTCATTCCCTATTAGCCATCCAACCAAAACATCGGGCTCCAAGTAAACCCAAGTATTTATTTGAAATAAAGAGAATATAACTTACACGTAAATGTGGTGTTTTGTTTGTTATATCACTCATCCTAGTATTCTGTGATTCCGCGTCGCCGCAGAAAAACCGCAGAAATTTGCATTTTCATCTTTTTTGCAGAATTTTTGTTTTGGCACGGAATTTCGCGGAAAACATGATTTTTCCAGTCAACCATCTCATTTCATATTTGTCACTCACCTAAACACCCAAAGACTCTGCTCGTTTGTTGTCAGATACTTGTGTTTTGTCAGATTTTCAAGAGGAAATCTGAAATCTGTTTTAAATTCTCGAACTTCCGCCTTTGCACTTAGAGGTAAGACTGTGTCTAACATAATCACGAAATTTGAAACCAATGACCAACCAAAAATTGTTTTGCAATAATATGTCTAATATTGTTTTCTATTGTATTCTTACGCAAATAATCATGCTTCCTCTTGCGTTTTACTTCGTCATATATAAATAGACGACATCTGAATTCCCTGCATATTGATCTTGAATTTTGTGATTGTTCGAATTTCGTGATAGTTCACATGTGAGCATTTGGTAAGTTTTGTCGCTAATTAACATTGCATCTGGTGTTATTACTGCAGTTGTCCATTATCGCTGAATAAAGCAGCATAAGTGGAGTTCAAGAATTGTTTATTTTTTGGAGAAAATTATTGATTTTAGCAAGAATTTCACTTTTTGCACATACTTGTACCACAAAATTTCACTTTTCCCTGTGCAGAATTTGGCGCAGAACTTCAGATTTCATGCAGAATTTGGTGCAGAATTTGGCTTTTTCATGCATAATTTCTGAGCAGAATTTGCATTTTTCTCATGCAGAAAACTAGGATGTGTGTTATATTGATGTTGAAATGGGCAAATGATTTCGTCAATTTTTTCGCCAGTTCTCCAGACCGAATAAAGTCACGTGATGTGACGTAACATAAGTGTGGCGCGATGATTTTTTAACTTTCATGGAACGAATACATCCCGGGAACCAATACATCCCAAATATTACGATTTCTTCAGAAGATTTGTTATCAAAATGTAGATTACTTTATAAAACAGACGTATCTGTATTGTATTTCGACTTAAAAGAATTATGTTGGACATTAAATACGATTTTTCAATTTGTTAAACAGACCGAATGTAGTACTGACGAAATATGGTGCCGAGACTTCTCGATATTCAACGAGATCACAAACAGATGGCAGAAGAATTTTACTTTTTGCTTGTTAATCGTTTCGTTCTTATTTATTAGCTGTCATCCAGCGATGGAAACCTAATATAAATACAAAGTTTGATACAAGTGTAACGAACCAGAGGTCTAACGTTCGCAATTTTAACGTAGCAGTTTCATCGGCGTTCGGTAGTTTAGCGCATCGTTTATTTTTCTTACTTTTCAACGTTTTTAGACCTCTGTTCCGTTATTTTATCTTATCCCAAGTGTTTATAAATAATGTAAAGTAATAATATTGCATCGGGTCAGATCATGGTCACGTTTTTGAGGATTCGCTGGTCTTCGGTTTTTTACGGAAACATTACGGAAATTAATGAGTGACGTCATTTATGTTTTGGTATAACTTGGAAAACACAAGAAACATCGGGGTCATTCTGGAGGTTCTGCTGAGGGTTATCGTCTATTTCTCTGCTAGTTCGTGGTCTTCACAAGTGTCCTTGGATCGTTTAGTTGTTCGAGTGATCATCAAAGTCTATATGGTGAGCACAATGTCTGGTAAAATATTAAAATCACGCAAGTGAGGACTACCATTTCGGTAACCAATTTTTGACAAGTGCTAATTTAGCGAAATTACTTTTATTTTGTATTTCATTTGGAATAATCTCGCATCTGAATTCCGACTACCGGGCGATTCTCTTGATAGCAATTTTGACTATATCAATTGTGGATCAGTGAATAACCCAGGTCTCAGCTCTGGATGACACAGATGTGAAATCATTCTAGTAATAATTCATAATTTTTAATCTAGTTCGATTTCATAAACAGTTTAGTTTCACCATTCATTCAACTATATTCTGCTTTTATTGTTCTCAAGATAGCACTTAGTCGAAGCCACATTCCTTCGACGGAGATATTCTTGAGCCAATTTTAAGTCGGAGCCATTATTCTTCGACTGGGTTTGTTCATGAATTAATGCTAATCTTTAATATTTCTATAGTTCGTGTAACTTACGTGGGAGCCATTACTCTCCGACTGAGTTTGTTCATGAATTATGCTATATTTGATATTTCTATAGTTTGTGTAGCTTAAGTTGGAGCCATTATTCTTCGACTGAGTTACATATTACAAGTTACATATATTTGCTCACTTGGTATTTTTGAAGCTGGTTTTGGTCCCTTGATTTATTTTGATTTGTATGGTTGTGGTTTGGTTTTGGCCTGGTGCAATATAGTTCAACAAGAATATGATAGAGGAAATTATAACAAACTGTTAAGGTAGATCTATGGCAAGTGTGAAACCATATATATCTATATACATATTATTCAATTAGTTTAGAACCGTTATATTTTAGTCATATTATATCAAGAGATACCTTAGTTGATACTTATGTTAACCATTGATTGATAGAAAGTTTGGATTAGTATTTAACCGAAATATTTTTGTGTATCTCCCTAGTTGAACTTTTGTCGCTTTTTATACAGCGACAGTTAGCACTTTTGTAAGTAGGAATATTTTGATATAATTAAACATTAGAAATTTAATTCTGGTATCCTGTTAAATCTACAGGGATATGTGTTGCTAATTTGAGGTGGTCATTCTATAAGCCAGTGGTTACTATTTAAACTTACACTTGTGGAATAGTGTATTCATTTTACTTAAAAGCCCAAAATTGGATGTAAATTCAATGTTCAATGTTATAACCACCTATAGAGTGATAACCAAGAGGAGTTAGGTACAGATCCTAAGGTGACCTAGTTAATTCATTCTCCAATCTCCAGTATTGACCCTTTGTTCACATTTCCAGGCACTTTGCTTACAGTAAATTTGTCAGTTAAAACGAAAGCCATTTCTTCCAAATTACCCTTTCATAATATTCAAATTCGTCAACTCTACAAGATTCCCCAAATTCCATGCCTATTTCTCACTTAAAGCTGTACAACAACTTGTGCCAATTATATTATTCCAATAGGCAATGTTTTAAACCAATTATGAATTTTGAGTTATAAAAATGCAAACCATATAAAGCATAAAAGCCCACATATTCTATTTGTCAGAGTAACATACTTTTTGAGACCAATTCTATGGCATGTGTATGAACTTTGGTTTCATCTTACCCAGCTAAGTTCGAGTTAATTAATTTTAATGGCCATTTGATCCCTTCATAGCAGGTCATGTTCTATCTGCTGTTGTTGTTTACGTTTAGGACAAGTTCAGGACAGGTTGCTTTGACCTTCCAGTACAGTACATTGTTTCAACTTCATAAATACATTCAGATAATTCATCTTATAATCAACAGTGATTCTACATTAAAGTTACAACACCAGCTGTTTTAGTCTTAACATCAATAGCCAGTCACATTTTTGCATACTAGTGTTTTATGTACATTTAATTCAGTCACCTTTAAAAGGGGGCAGCACAAGTCAGACCATACCATACTTCAGTTAGTGGCTCAGAAGGTATCACAACACAAATATCTAAATTTACAGTGAGATTTATATAAAAACGACACCCGGTCCTAGTTATGCTACCATTTAATTATAGTTACATCATCTATACGGGATGGAGGTCGTTTCACAAGGAACAAACACGTGAGTGTTTTTTATGATGTTTATTCCACGGACGTCAAGTAAGTTTCTGGCGAAAGCTGGAGCACAGATTATAAAGAGGACTGGAAACAAAATGGCAGTCTATTTCAAATCTGCCAAATAATGTTGGCCTATTTATCACTATTGACTCAGTTGTTCATCTAGTTTTACTTACCTTAGATGCTTAGTAATATATTTAGTACAATATTGTTTCCAAAATTGTCATTTGCGATAATTAGAAAAATTATGATGAGCTAATTTCAGTCGAGATTCAGGAAATAAAAAGGTAGGTCATTCTTGTTTCCACTCCTCTTAAATAATCTATGCTCCGGCTTTCGCCAGAAACTTACTTGACGTCCGTGGTTTATTCATTTATCCAGCATGTATTATACATTGAAAAACCAGTGTGTGTTTTCCGGAGTTAATCCCCCTTTTTGCATTGGATCTCATCTGGCCCAGATCTACGACGTCAGGAGTAGATAACTGGGCTAGACGGGTTTGGTTATGAATATCCATGATACCCTGAACCGAAAGTGAAAAAGTGAAAAATTATTTTGAAAAATTATGAATGAGTCTATTTGAAATTTAATTTACCTGGCTAGGTGCAGTAAATGGTTAGGTTGTTGACCTTCTCCTAATGGCTCACAGTCATGTTCATCGAAATAGCACGCCATGGTGTGCTAATTTCTCCTAATGTTTAAGTACACTTTGATAAAACGTAAGGAAATATTAAATATGACACTGCAAATGTTTACTTCCGGAATGAATAGGTCAGTAGGTCAGTAGTATCTAAATGAGCGACTACATAGAAACGGCGCCAAAAATACATATAAAGTAAACGTTTATTTATATACATTGAAGTCCTTTTAGAACAATATCATAATTTTACGAAAATCGAATATTATTTTTGTTTGTCGGTAAAGTCGCATTATGTGATTTTTACTGTAGTTATGGCAAAATAGAGCAATTTCTGAAAATTTGTATAAATGGCAGAAGCATCAAAGATGGAGGGAGAAGGACAGGAAGTGCAGAAATCTCAAGAAGTTTTACAGAATTTGACACGTTATCTGAATTCCATTGGAGATGATAATAGAAACACTCGTAAAAGGGCATTAGAATCTATAAGAAAAGAAACATTGGGAAAGAAACCGCCATTGGATAAAGCTATTTTTCACCACGTTTTTGTTGAAATTTCAAAACCAATTTTGTCATGCCTTTCTGATCCAGTTGAAAAATGCAGAGAACTTTCTGGAAACTTTATACAAGACTCTATAAAATTGTTGCCATGTTTAGAGGAATTTTTACCACTTTTGATACCAGTGTTTGTGCAAAGGCTTGGTCAGCAAGACTTGGTGGAACAGTCGGAAGAAATCCGCCTGGTCTTACTGGAAACTCTGACATTGATTGTCAAAGAAGCGAACAAAAGGTTAGCTGTGTACCTAGATGACATGGTGACAATATTACGCAGAACAATTGTTGATCCCTTTCCTGATGTTAAAAAGGAAAGTTGTAAATGTGCATCAGCTTTAGCAAAGGCTACTCAGGGTCATTTCCATATGCAGTCTGAGTCCCTCATCCCATCACTTATAGTAACAGTAACACATCAACATTCTCGAGTGAGAGCAGAAGCCGTAACTGCAATAGGTATGTCACTTAGGAAATTTAACCTTGAGTATGTTCATTACAATGTACATGTATATCAAGTATGACAGCATTTCCCATAATTTACACAGTAGATTATAATAAAGAACAGCAAAAGAGTCTCAAAAATTGTAAGATACAATGTTATAAATGTTTTCTCACGACATTTCATGCCATGTAGAGGTTTTGTGAAGATTATAACATTAGCAAGTTTTTTCCAACTTTTTTCCATTCTTTACTGCCTGGATTTCAGATAATATGTTTACTCTTGAATGCTGTGTATGAAAACATTTATTGAGTTATAACAATACATGTGTATGTCTGAATTAATACTTTTAAAAAAAAATCTACATGTAGGTGAAGCAACTGCCTCACCTGTCTCAAGCTTGGCCAAAATGAGTCAAATGAGTTCATCAATCGATTCATATTAGTGTCATGATTTTTACAGGTAGTGTTATACAATATGGAAATGGAAAATCTTTTGATGATGTGGCCTCCCATCTTGCTCAACGTCTATTTGACCATGCCCCTGCAGTGCGAATTGCAGTGATCGATGTAGTTGGAACATGGATGCTAGATCTGATGGATCGCTATTCTTTCTGGCACAAATTGATCCCTCTGTTGCTCTCAGGGTACACTGATGAGCTACCAGAAATACAAGAAAAGACAGATGCGTATTGGCATGACACAGGTACAGTAATTCTTTTTCATATAACATGATTTTATAAAGTGATTAAGGTTGCATCAAAATTGCAAACCAGGTCTTGAAAGACCAAACAATTTTCTCTGACTGTGCTTATCAAAATAGACAACCAGTTAATATCTTGCTGTATTCACTGCTCCTGGGAATCTTAAAAGAAACAAATGAATATTCCATTCTTCTCTTGTGAAAACCTTCAGTACTTTCACGAGATATTTTTCACTAACTGATTCCGCTTCGTGGAATATTACTTGCTAAAGTTGCAGGTGTATTCACAATATTGTCAAGATTTTTTGATTTTCCCTCATGTTGACTGTTATGATTCTAGATTAACTAACCTCAACTTTTTAATCTCTGTGTTCACAACACAATGTACAGTATGCCATGTATCATATTAGAATTTGTCAGAACATATGTTCTAATTGTTTTGCAGGAATTAAGTATGAGAAAGAGAATCCTGATGATATGAAAGAAATGGCAGATTTTGCGAAACCAGCTCCACAACATTATCCTTCTGATAGTAAGTTATAAAAATGTAAAAATGTGACAAGATCTTTTTTGATTTTTTTATGTTCATACATACAATTTATACAATATCAATTTTAAGTTCCAATCTTATTCATGTACATGACACACTGATGGATCCAGGGGGGGGGGGACTATGGGGCCTGTCCCCCCCCCCCCCTGGATCCCCCCTAAAAAATTTAGGGTTCCAAAAGTTCTTCGGTCTTTTTGGGCATAATTTGGCCTTATTTCAGGTCAAATTATCAAAAATTGGGCCTAAATTTTTTTAAACTTTAGGGGCCCAAACATTTTTTAGCGCTTGGCTTCTGGATCCGCCAATGTGACATGTCTTTGAAAAGAATTAATATACGCAAAAGTCTATATCTTTGATGTATCCACAAATGACATTGTACATTCAAAATCTTGCTTCAGCTGAAAGACCAAACCTTGGATGTAGACAACTCATGTACCGTAACATCTCTAAGATTATACCTGCATTGATACGTGATATGGGGGATTGGGTGGTTGATACCCGCATCAAGGCATCTCAACTGTTATATCACTTACTACTCTCTGAGGAGGAGTATATTGTACAACATCTTGAGAAATTGCTCACTGGAATGTACAAAGCTTGTCATGATGAAGAGAAAGAGATTTTAAAAAATGTATGTACATGTATATTTATTTTAAAAAAGTATCAAGTATAGTGTTCATGTAAGAAGGTATAAAAGTCAAGTTTCAAAAAATGTTAATGCATTTTTGTATTTTAGGTTTCGCAATGCATTGGTAAAATTAAGGTGTTCTTGGATTTCCAACAAATATTTTTTTCTAATTAATTGGTATCACAATATCACATCATACTAAAGAATACAACTTTATTTCTATACCTATTGAATTAAGTATGTATATTCTGAGAGTTGGGAAATATGAATTAGATCTTCTTTTCTTAACACTCCGACTTTTCACAATTATTTAGTCTAAAAATATACATTTCTGTATTTCTTGCAGATGGCTAAATGTGCTGAATTGTTAGGTTACTTTGTGCCATGTGAGGTATGGTGTAAGCTCATTCTTTCCGCAATACGCTCAGGGGTCTCTTTTGGCAAATTGGTAGTCCTACATCACATCATACTGGGTAGTCAGAAGGATCCCTTGAAAGCATACCTAAATCAAATAACTGACACATTGCTGCTGCCTGATGTCTGTGCCATGGGAGAGGTAGAACATTGCTCTTATATCTCTTTTTTAAATATTTTGATTCAATAACTTGTGAAATAATATATATTTGATAGACAAGGATTTTGTATGTTTAGCAGGTTTAAAGCCCAATCTTATTATAACTTTGATTATTTCATCATTTGTTGTTTGCCATGACTTAATAAGTGCGAAATTTTTTGGAACAGATATGGATTTGGACCAAGTTAGATACTTTTTATTTCAAAATATTGTTCTAATCTATGTATTTAGGATGGAAGTCAGTTAGAGGTTGTGAAGTGTGCTGAGGCCCTGTGTTCTCTCTGTGGTGAAGATGTAGACCATGTGGCTCCCCAACTGTTTGAAGTTCTAATCACAGTGTACGGGTCTTCTAGGCAGGCCACTGTACAACAGCAGGTAAGTTAGTTATCGGAACCTTTTCATGTGTCACAATAAAAAAGGATTTTTGTAAGCAGTAGAAAATATCATATTTTGAACAAACTATTTAACTATTGAACATGTTTTTTATTAAACCATCAGATAAGCTCTGATTGTTTATGGATTTAATTCTTACTCTGGAATAAAAAGAACATCTAATGGTTTGCGCTTATGATATGATATTGTTATCTGCACTATTGTTATGCTTAGGGGAGACATCAAAAGATCGATGTTGGATCAGAAATTAGATAAATCTAGTTAGGCGGGAGGGGTTCAAAGCCATTTCATTTTGCTATCTGACAAATTTCAACATTTTAATTTTTTGCAATTTTGAAGTGAAATGCCTTGGAATGGTTTCAAAACAAATTGTTTTATTTTTCATTCGCGATCAACTTTTATCTACAGTATAACAATACAATAATTGTAACACTGTTATGTTACTGCTTTGTTACTTTTATAGGCACTGGTAGCAGTAGATTTCTTAGGAAGGTCACTTCAGCTAGACAGACAAGGAACATATGAGAGGTTTTCTCAAGGATTGCTACAAAAATTATATGATGATCATAAAAACTGGACCATCCATTCTGATCAAAGGAAAGTTTTTGATGCCCTGCTTACAGCCTCAGGTATTTAAATGTATTTAAATGTGAATTGTTGTCACAGAGGGAATGTGTAATTTTAGTCAAGCACCAAGGCAAGACATTTTACCAAGAATTTCACGCCAATGCAATGGCTAAAAAAATCATTCTTCTGCAGGAATTCTGTTAGATGCAAGTTCACATCCAATACAAAGTTTTTGAAATGGCAACATCTTTTCCCAAAAGAATGTTTTATTAGAGATACTTTTTATGTGAAAATATCACACTCTATCGCTTTACCAAAATCAGACATTCCAATCCTTTTGTTTCAAGATTTTTAAAGATTATATTAAATAAATTTGATGTGTATTCTTCATACAATAATTTTTGTGATTATGTATACTGAATTTTATTTATATCCCATTTTGATTACAGGTCCAGTTGCTGGAAGTTTACTTGATACATCAATGCCGATTATATTCTACTATATAAACCCAACATATGATGATTCTCGAGATCCTGAACTGACTTCAAAATTCTACAGTCTACTTGGGAGACTTATGACAGCCGAGGGGTTCCCTTTGAATAGCGCAGACAAGTTTGGGGACTTTGCTGTACAACTTGTAAAAGAGGTTGTCATTCCTAATTGTGTGTGGCATGCTGGGAAAACACAGAGTGCACTTCGGGCAACTGCTGTCGCCACCTTGTGGGAGATGATGAAACAAGGATATTTACCTAAAGAAAAGGTAATTATGATTAATCACTACTCTACTATATGAATGTATTTTAAGACAAAAGAACATCTGAACATTACATTAATCGTAGGCTCATGCATTATTTATTAATGAAATAGAACATTACAAAAAACGTAAGAAAATGAACGAAAGGTATGCTTTATCTCAGTTAATCTGATAGTTATCTTTACTACACTTGAACACCAACAATGGCTCTTAGAATAAAGTAAGAACACTAGGTTTTCAGAAAAAGGTGCAACAATGGAGTACGTTGTTTTGAAAATTTTAGATGCTTGAGGTGGTGGAAGATCTTCTCACTCAACTGCTGTCTCTCCTGACTGATGATCGGAAAACAACACGTCTCCTAGCAACCAGGTGTGTTGCTGTTGTCCTTGAAATCGTCAACACTGATCTTGAACCCGACAGACTGCATCAGATTTATCCAGAATTCCTTAAAAGGCTTGATGATAGTTCAGATGATGTCAGGATCTGCGCTGCTAGAATGTTTCCACCATATTTTGCCTGTTTCCATGACTACCAAGTTGGTTTATATAGGGCCCATCTTGAAGAGATTTATAAGGGACTCCTGGTCCACCTTGATGACCCACAGAAGGAAATTCAGGACTATGTGTTAGGTATGAATAAATTACTACATATGATATGGCACATTATTGAGAAGACCAATTAAACTCATGCTTTCCGTGGAATTCTTAGTGTAGAGCTCTCCAGTCAGGAATGGCAAACATGTTCCCTTATAAGGTCAAATGATTACTCCATTCTGTACATGTAGGTGCACAGATATTTAACCTCTTGCTTTTTTATTTCCCCTTGCACTATCAATTAATGAATTACTAGGTGGATGGGTAAGAGAAATATCGCTGTCCCTATACAATTTCAGAATGATCCTTTTAAATGGGTCATAAATGACCTACTGTACATCATTATATCACTCAATGAGTATCATTTGTTTATTTTCAGATGCATTAAAATCAGCTGCTCCTCTAGCGCCATCTATCTTAATGGACGAGATAGAAAAAGTGAAGCACAAACACAGAGGTCCTGAATATTGTAACAAACTCACTCAGCATATACAATCTCTCAGTATATCATGAACTCGAGGAAGTTAAAGATCTCGATTCCTTTCAACTTTTCAATTATCAGTGGCTGTTTCTCAAAGACATGTAACATTAAAACAATGAAATTCTTGAAGGTCTATTGTCCTTCATGATTTGTCAAGCCTTCCACATTTTGTAAGGAAATGTATTCAAAGTAATTTACATCCACAGATGAGCCCTAAAGTACTATTTGAAATTCATCAAACTAGGTGGAATAATGGATGCAAAATATTCTTCCGGTATCCAAATATCAAAATTGGATCACTTACCAAAATGTGTGTTTATGAATTACTATGGTTACCTGTCACCAAGTACATTAACATAAATGGAGAGCAAGTATTTTTTGCAGGAAATTGTTGTCAAACATTGATATATGTGTGATGTACAGTACATGTGAATATTTACATTATATTGTATTATCAAATATATTATTTGAGTTTTTCTAAGTATACACACTTGATTTATGTTCTTTCTAAACTAGATTATATTACGGAACCCCCCCCCCCCTTGAGTCTGTTAAAATATCAAGTCTGAAATAACCCCCACCCCTCTAGATGCTTCACTCCAGTGGAGTTGGGGTCACAATGACTTGATATATCTACATGTATAATACAGGGTGACCCAAAAAACAGAACACTCTACTAAAAGTGAAATAATTTCTTAAATGCCTATGTTTTATCCAATTTTTATGTTCATAAACTAAAATCTCTGGATGAATCTTGATAGATGGATGAAAGTTAAAGTCCAATAAAGTAATGTTTCAAAGGCAAAGTAAAGTGTTTTACAAATACCTACATGAAAAATCAATAATTGTTCATGGAGAAAGGTTTAAGTATAAGACAAAGTTATGTGTCCTAAAAATGTCTACATAAAAATCATTCATTGTTCGTAGAGAAAAGTTAAAGTTAAATAAAGTAACGTTTTACAAAATAAAGGCAAAGTGATATGTTATAAAAATGCCTACATAAAAAATCATCCATTCTTCGTGGAGAAAAGTTAAAGTCCAATAAACATGATAAAATACAGTTTTAAAGGCAAAGCAATGTACGTGTACTATGGAAATGCTACATATGAAATTCATCAATTCTTCACGAAGAAGAGTTGGAGTCCAATAAAGTAATATCCATTATTTACATTTTAGATAAAGGCAACAAGAGTTTCTGCCATTTAGTTTCCTTAGAATATTTTCTTTCATTATCAAAACGAGAAAAACATTACATTGTTTTTTGAGTCACCCTGTAGGTCCAATACTGCTCCCTCTCCCATAGTTCTACAAAGTTCAACCTAGTCTCTGGGCGTTATGTCTTATCTGATATGGCTAATGGCCTAGTTATGAACGGCCAAGTTATGGACGTAGTAAAGTCCATGATTGGTGAAAATGCAGTGATTATTCCCGGGAGATTTGTACTTTTTTGTTTTCGTACGGTGCAAACGATAATTAACTTTTCAAAACGAGGCTGAAAGGTAAAAATATTTTCTAACTTTCAAAAACTTTGAATGAAAACCTGATGTATGCGTCGATTGAGAGTGTTTTTAGCAGCGTTGGATGGCATTTATTACGTCTGTTTCTATTACAGACCATAAATCTTAATCACAACTGGATTTGATCTTCTGCAAAAAAATTTCAAATTTTGAATTCAAAAAATGAAAAGAAAAAAAAACATTTCAGCGAACCATTTCATGCATAGGCCAAGGGTAAAGTAATAGTAAGCCGTATATCAGCGCTTGCATTAGGTTAGAAAATTTGTGAGTCCCAAGGACGCAATTTTTTTTAAAAAGTGTGTCCTTTGAAAAAAAAGTGTGTCCCTTATTTTTCAGTTTTTGATTTCTTGCCGCAAATTTAAAACGGAAGTAAACGTTAAGTATGGACTGAATAAATGCATGTTCGTTCATTCGACAATGAATACATTTTATTTCATGAATAACCTAATATTTGTTTCTGAATAGGAAAAACTGTTGCGTGTCATGGTTTAAAATAAAAAATAAACAATGTCGAAAATATTCGAGAGAATCATGATTATTTGTAAATATTCAACATGTTGAGCCTTATTTACGATTCAAATAAAGGTGAGAGATCATAATTATTTGTTTTTGTTAGGTATCATTGTAAACACATTGTAGTATTGACCGCAGGGGTTTCAATAAATATTTTTTCAACAGGCCTTTTGGCAATTTCAACAGGCTGCATTTTTTTCGACCATTTGCCTCATGTGCTTTCTCACTGTGATGTTAAATGATAAAATCAGTATTTTCCTGTCACTTAATGCACATTGTATATGAGCAATTGATCTCAATAAAGCAGATCAATACATAATTGATTGTTAATTCATTTTTGACTTCTTAATTACTTTGTGTTTTTCAATGTTGCCCCTTGTTCCTCCTCACTCTGATGTAAATAATAACTCAATATTCCTTTCGGACATGCACATTATTAATTTTAATGAAATATAAAGATCAACGTTCAATAGTTTGATATGCATTTTTGACTTGTTATATTTTATTTGTTTTCAAATGTTGCCCTTTGTGCTTCCTTACTATGATGTGAGATAATGCCAAGAGGATCAATTGTATTGATTATACTGTTTGTTTTATCCATTGAAAGTTGGCAGGACAGTGATAAAGGTTTTTTGCTACTGACCCATTAGTCTCAAAGCAATGATGTTTTGGTTTTGAGAGTAGGTCAATAAAAATGGTGGCCGGATTATTGTAAGATAATTATCTCAGTGTTTCTGTAAAACACTGCTGATTATCTGCCTATTATACTTAGATTTTGCCTTCACAAGGTAGGCCAATTTATATTCTTTCATTTGATATGTCAAAGTTAATTGTTTTGTTTCATGTGTCAGCAAAAGCTCTCATCATTTGGACCGGCAATTTTTTCTCAATTTTTTTTCTCAATATTTGAACCGGCGTAACTGGGGTTTGAAGCGATTTTGACCTAAAAAAAATTTGCGTCCAAAAAACGGAAATATTTTCAATTTTTGCGTCCTCCAAACTATTTTTGAGTCCTTAACATGTACGGGACGCCGTTAATGCAAGCCCTGCGTATATAGAAGAGACAGGTGAACAACTCTGACTTAGACCACTTGTTAAGATGGAGATTTCAACAATATTTAGTGTATTATTTTCAAAAAGCCATGAGGAGTTGATAGAAAATTGATAGTTTGTAGCTCTTACCTAAGATTGAAATTCAGTCAGATGATGTATAGTTGGGGACATAAATAAATGACAGGTGGATTTGCTGAAGTGAGGATTTCCCATGTTAAAAATAAGAGAATTTACAAGAGGCCATACATCAGTGGATGAGATTATACAAAATGTAAAATATACAAATTTTAAGGGATATATATCTAGACAATATTGGAAATTATGGGCTTTCAGACCACCATAATTAGGAAATGGTGATCGATAATCGACCTGTCATTTATTTTTGTCCCCAACTGTAGAGTGAATAATGCTGTCTAAAAGAGAGAATTTCTGAAAATCTGCAATTGCCTGGCAAGTTCATTAGTAAACAAGTGATCTGATTGGTCACTGCTGACCTCCAACAGTGACAATCAGTTTCAGCTTGCCAGGCAATATTACCCAAATGCGAGTAGGTAGTTACAAGTTTCACCACCAGGTGGCTGATTCGGGTCAATTAACATGGCAGGTATTAAGAAAGTTCCTCTAAACTTGAATATTATCAACTTAAGTGGCTCAATTTTCATATAACCCTTATGCGTCTGATACTTATACTAATGAAAATATGTCCAGTAAAGCAAAATATTATCTGTCCACTAAAAGAAAAGATATTTCATTTTTAGTGATTTTATAGCATGGGGTCTATGGGGAATCTCCCCGAGCTAGAAGTCACATTTTCAAAGAAAATTAATTTTTCAAAGTTGATTAACACTTTTTAAAACCACATTTCTAGATGTAATTTTAGATGTAGATTTCAAATATGATATTACTTTGACTGAATTTTGAATTTTTAATGACGTAAATTAAGATTATTTCTACTCGCATCTGGGTTATTGCAGATATCCATAGTTGTTGTTTTATATGCAGTATTATATGCAGTTTTTAGATAAAGATTTGAAAAAACAATGATATAAGTTTGAAAAACACTTTGAAGAAGATTTTGGAGAGATTTGGGAATACAATTTGATACCAGTAAGGAGAACTAGTGCCAAGACTAAAAAAATTTGAAAAATTTTCAATCTTACTTGTGGACCTGTCTCTTCTATATACAGCTTACTATTACTTTTCCTTTGGCCTATGATTTCATGCTACATGTTACACTTGATTTCTTAGGTTAAAAGATATTAACCTGTACTAACAATTGTTGATAAACTTTTTAAAGTATAGTAGGCCTAAATGTATGTACATATGAAGATATTCAAATCTGGATTGCATCGCAAAATCGTCAAAAGCACACTAAAGGTTTATCTAGTTCCAAGACATCTCTATATTCTTTGTCTTGCATGCATACAACAGGGGCTCGCATTTTATTTCTAGATTAGACAAATATTGGTGTTAGCCATGGACGTGATTCTTACCTCTATCGATTCTAACACTACCTGAAATGTTCTCTCAGAGGCAAAAAAGTTGCGACTGGTTGAAATTGCAGAGGTTCACACTTAAATTGGCCAGTATTTTCAAAATGTTCACTATCAACTTCGGAAATCATTTCTGAGTACATTGAACACAAGTACGAGCAGTACTGAATTGATGTTACACTTGGTTTCTTCAGTAGCCGAGTATATTACGAAGACACTGGATGTAACCTCACTTGATAATGCCCTTAATATACTGCAATTTGAGAACGCTTTTTATCACAACATCGATTGGATATAGTTGTCATGATAACATCGTTATCGCGATCATCTCGCTTTTTTTTGTCATAACCATTTCAGGAAAACATCCTCATCAGATTTTGCACACATGTATCTAGGCTGTTTATCACTGCCCCCAGGATTCCATGTTTGCAGAGCGCGGACGGAATTTGCCTCTGCCCGCGGAATTGCAGAATCAACTATTTTGGTCAATTTCCGCAGAATTTTCCGCAGAATCCATATATTTTCCAAAAGTTTAAAAAGTCAGTCTTACCTGTAACAATTTGACACGTTTTCAGTCAAATCCCTTGCAGAAATAACCCAAATTATGCGAAGTGAAAAAATTCTAAACGCCATCGTTTGATTTCTGCCGTTAGATGGCAGCATGTATGTAGTGACTGACTACCTGACTATCACGATATTTTCCCGTTTACTGGTTCGAAAACCATTAATATCCGCGGAATT